TGTTTGGTTTTTAGACTCACAGCCAACATGTCTTTTTCTTTTAGTTTGTGCGGCACTAGTGGCTTGTTTTTTTGACGGTAGGCTAAGAGAAAAGGGGGTAAGAGGGAGGGGAAGAGACATGTGGCAAAGGACCACAGGTAGGGCTCAAACCGGGGTCAGCCGCATGGAGGACTAAAGCCTCCGTACCTGGATCGGGCACGCTAAACACTGCACCACCAAAGCACGCTGAGAGACAAGAGACTTCTTTAATATTCAAAGTGTGTGGAGGGTTTTAGAGGATCCAGAGGTAGAGACGGAAGTTGAGTTTTTTTTTTTTTTTTGCACATTTGATGAACAAACCTAAAAATACAAAATACAAAGTTCAGAACTAATCGACAAGGAAAACTTAAGAACAAAAAAAAGCTAGATGACACTAAGGAGGAATAAACCAAAAGAATGACAAGGATCCAGCAAAGAGTAACTCAACAGGAGGTGTATATATGGGAGACAGAAACAAGAGAGGACTGAAAAGCTAATAGGGAGCAGGTTTAGATAAAAGGAACTAGAAGGAGCTAAGGGAAAGGAGCCTGGCACAAGGGGGCAAGGAAGAGTAACTTAAAAAATAAAACCCTGCTTAAATGTAACACAAAATGGAAAAGAAACCAATGATCAAGAAAACACAGAATAACATAAAACAAAGTGTAACTGGGAACTTAAAAAGAAACTGAAACAGAAGTCCACAAATGGCATATATCCCTCCTAAATCACCTTCAGTTGCTCCATAAAGCAGCAGATCCACTTCAAGATTCTCCTCCACATTATAAAGCTTTCAATAACCTTGTAAAGTATATTCATTTTATTACAAGTGCTGATAAATAAAATGTATTATTGTCTACGAATGTGATTTTATATGTCCCAGCTCATAATAATTTACATCTATGTGTTTTTAATCTACATGGATTGTAGACCCCAAATTGTCCAATTGTTCATTCATCCATATATTTAGTCAGCAGAGGGTTAGCAGCGATGCAAGAGAAATTGGAGGAAACAAACACAGAAGAATTACTAAAAAACATGCTGAACTTTTATATCAGAGTTATATTAAAAATAGAAATATATCAGGAGCAGCGATGCGCCTGAGGGGACCAGCTTTAGCTGATGCTTCGCAATACTCATGAAATGATGCATGGGCGCTAATCTGCGCTAATCTGCCATGCGTTATGCATTAGTTAGGCTGTCATTGGACAGGAGTTCTGGAAGTTCATTATCAATACTCTATGTTTACGCCCAAAATTGAAAAAATACATAGAAAGTTCAGTGTATGCAGTGTTTTAGGAGATCCTGGGTCATCAGGCATACACTGGTTAAATCTGCAAGGAGTGACAAGGCCCTAAGATTTTTGAAGTATATTTGTTTTCCTTAAAATCCTAGATTTTCTAGAAGTTTAACCCTGCTTTAGTGCAGCATCGGGGTCAATCAGAGAAAAACAGCTGACTGAAAACAATACTAAATGTTGTGGTACACATCAGTCAGTTAGTCTGTAGATAATAATAGCCTCATATTAAGCTCAGATTTATTCCCACCACTAAAAAATACAAATTCTGTATCATATAATTCAACAGCATATGAGTAATTGTAGAAAAGGACAAAATAATTAACCTCAAGATGATTTTTATTTATTTATTTTTTACTCAATAATGGTCGATTTGTTAAATCTGACATAATTGGGTGTATTCCTTCAGACCTGGGAAAAAGGCCAAAATCTAGAGCCATCTCTTCACCCTCCTACGTTTCTAATTAAAAGGCAGCTTTGGGGGGAGCAGAGATTTGAAAGGTGAAAATGTGATCTTGAAGCTTCATATTTTTGTGTTGATATGTAATCAAGGTTAGATGAAGGGCTGTTACTTCATCATAGTTACCTTCGTAGAGAAAGCCAATACTATGTCTCTCCTGATTCATCTGAGTATGCAATTTATATGGGCATCTGCACGAAGCTGTTCATTTCTGTTGGAAGAATGCAATTGTGGGTTATGTATTGTTGATTGCGTTTCAGCGAAAAAAATAGATTCAGTCTGAAGGGTGTCATCAAAAACAAGATTTGCTGCAATCTGTTCTCTGCGGGATAACATTAATAAATGCATTTGTATTTTTTTGACTTGTTTATACCTCTTCTTTTTTCCACACTTCTTTCTTCGGATCTGATGCAAATTATGCATCAGATGAGGATGTTTTTCTTTAGGCTCGATGCTTTGTTAATACATGTCATTAACTTGTAATGGAACTTTCAAAAATACAGTGATTGTCATAGTAGAGCACACATACATCATGTCCAACAGAAAACGTAATCAACCTTAATCTATAAATCAGTCAAATCTCATTCTATTGATTGATCAGTAAATCTACAGTCCTGTCTGTCTGTTAGTCTGTTAGTCTCAGATAAGATAGGACTTTGCTGATCTCGCAATGGAGAAAATCAATTGTGACATCAACAGGAGATGCAAAATAAGAAAAGAAGTGAAGTGAAAGAAGTGAAATATACCGTAAATTCTCTAATATAGGCC